TACCAACATGCCTGGCAAGATATGCCAACTGGTGTAATAGTGGCATTACAAGAATAACCAACCATTTTCTGACTGCATCTGAGGCATGCTTCAGAGGAGGGAACTCATGCCTGGGACTATAAACCTGGTTGAAAAGTCTGTGGTTAGAGAAGTCAGGCCCAGAGGAAAATCTACTAGAGTGAGTTTGCTAAATGTACATGATGCCAAACCACCTTCTACATATTTGTTTCTATCCACAAATCAATGTCCTTCTCAGTCTTGATCAGAGAGTTGTGTTTTTGTTTTTGTGTCTGCACTGGGTGGCGATTAATGTAAACTGGTTTTGAGTCACCCCAAACTGACTGGAGCATTCTCCTAAATAGAGCCTCTAGATTGTCTCCTCCAAGGCTCGGTGAACCTCAAAGAAAAAAAAAAAAAAAAGAACATAAAAGCCAGAGGTTGAGGAAGGCTGCAAAACAGTCTTTCCAACCGGACACAGAGGTTGAACACACTGTGATTACCTGCACAAGGCCAAACAAGACTGGACCTGTGACCATCTCATCACGCAAGGCTTGGGTATTTTATAGTACCTCTGTGACCTCCCCCGCTTCCCTTATTCATCCTGTTTAGACACTACCCGCACGCATTCCCACTATTTCACCTCGTAATATTTTCTGAAACAAGAAGCCACCATCTCAGGAAGCTGCCTTCCCCATCCCTGTCTTCCTTTGTTCCTCTAATCCTCTTCAAAGCCCATGTAAAGCCTATAACAATGATAATGCTGAATGGAGATAGGAGGGGACGCTGATGGCTTGTAAACAAACACTCATTCCTTACACAGAATAAATAGGAATGCACCATAGGAGAAAAAACTGAGTTAAATTCATAAAAAAATTTAAATATGTGCTTGTGGGGAAATACTGTAGGCAAATGAAAACAAAACAGTTGCATACTGTGGAAAAATACTTTGGAACTATTTTCCTAATAAATAATTGGCCATCAGCTGCCAAAGTGCAAAATAAAAGCCCAACACAGATAAAACAAAACTGTGAAAGTGAACTTATGAAAGGTATTTCTGGTAAAGAACAAAAGGTGCCTCACATAATTATTCATTGGGGAGATGCAAACTAAAACTGTATTAAACATTCCTACATGTTCATGAGTAATTAATCCACCCCATGGCAGAATGCAATGATCAGAACAATTGGTCTTAGATTCATTTTTGATTCCCATTTTTGATTCCCTGGACCACTCTCATTATTGTGTGATAATAACAGAAACCACACCCCAAGGGAACTGGTGTTAGAATTTACCACAGTACCAGTTTACTTATAATTAAGTTCTTAATTACTCCAACTGGAAACATTTTCAGGCATAATTGTAATCTATCATATATTTTGAGTTGAAGTATGTTCTTCCGATTGATAATTGCAATAATGATGGGTTTTGGTACATAATCAGATATTCTTTTTATTCTTAAGGATTGATTTATCATACTTAGCTTTAGTTTAAATGGAATATTCACACAATTTTAGGTTATAAAATATGAATGGGTATGGCACAGGATGCAATTTTTTTACTACTACATTTTATGGATATAATCTATGTACTTAGTCCTGCTAAGAAGTTTTGGGTTCTTTTCTAAACTTTACTATTAGAAGCTGTGCTCCATTGATTATACTTTAACATACAAAATGTACATGTGTGGGAGAATATCAACATATTCTTCCACAAAGTATCTCTTGGTCAAAGTGCATATGTACTTATAGTTGTCCAAATGACCTTCCATGAAACCGTGAATTTGTTATTTTCAACTTTGTATGAGATGGTGACTTCGTTTGGGGAAAACAGTGTTTCTATATTCCATAGGAAGTGTTTCATTCATGACCCACTTCCAGTAGATAACAGCAAACTAAGTCCCTCGACTGAGAGCTTCAGCTGAGCAGGTGTATGTGTAAATGCTAACAGTGGGTGGTGAGGGCCTTGGAGTTGACCCCGGTGTGGCAGTGTTGGAATTTCTCAATAGTAACTACAAGGCATTATAATGCCAGCAGCATGACATTATCAGTACTGGGGAGTATTCCCTGCTTGTCACCATCACAGTAATGAGATGGATTCAGAACCTTTGAGTGTGTGTGTAGGGGCTGGAGGGGATCTCATGCTGTTACTGACTTGTTGCTACAGTTTTCCTGCCTTGCCCACAGTCAGGACAAATCTTTGTCACCCGCCAGTCCCACAGCCACTCAGACCCAACCAAGTAAACACAGAGACTTATATTGCATACAAACTGTATGGCCGTGGCAGGCTTCTTGCTAACTGTTCTTATAGCTTAAATTAATCCATTTCCATAAATCT